GGGGGCGGGCAGGGGCCGGTGGGGGCCGGGGTTGGTGGGTTGGTGTGGTGCCGAGCGCGGCTGCGGCTCCTCCTTAGCTGGCTGCGGCAGGATGGTGGTGATGTGCGTGGCCGGGCTGTTCTTCATTCCCGTCGCTGGCCTGACGGGATTCCATGTGGTGCTCGTGGCCAGGGGCCGCACTACCAACGAACAGGTAGGCCCACGGGGCTATGGGTGGGCTGCTGGCCCTGGTGAGGCCACCTAGGGACACATTTTGGGGCTCGCCGGAGCAGGGCGGATGTGGATGGGCTGGATTGAGGCAGGGGGAGGCCCCTGAGCTGGAGGGGCAGAGCACAGGTTGTCTGAGGGGCAGCCTGGGGTTGGGGGTGCTGCCAGAGGATGGAGCCGGGCGGGCACTTCTGGGGGGCAGGAGGCAAAATCAGGGAGACCTTTCCCCTCCAGGGTATAGTTGAACACTTAAACAGGGACCAGGATAAGGGAGAGGATCTCTGAGTATCTCTGTCCTTGGAGATTTTCCTGAGGCTGCTGGACAAACCCTGGCATGGCTGGCTGGGCCGAGCCCCCCACGGTTCCTGCCTGTCCCAAGGCTGTGACACTCCTTTACCCCGCAGGTAACGGGCAAGTTCCGTGGGGGTGTCAACCCCTTCACCAACGGTTGCTGTAAGAACGTCAGCCGGGTCCTCTGCAGCTCCCCGGCCCCCAGGTGAGCCCAGGCAGTTCAGGTACCCCTGGCCCCCGTCACACCCGGCCCTGGCGTCCACAGGGAAACCACCAGGCCGTGACCTTCCTCCCGCCCCCTCCCCAGGTACCTCGGGCGCCCGAAGGCCGAGCAGACGGTGCTGGTGAGACCCCCCTTCCTGCGGCCCGAGGTGTCGGATGGTCAGATCACCGTCAAGATCATGGACAACGGTATCCAGACAGAGCTGAAGAGGACGAAGGTGAGGAAGGTGGGGACCAGCGCTGCCCGCGCTGGGGCCCTCCACGGAGCCCAGGGGTGCGAGCCTGCATCCGTGAGTAGAGAACCGAGTGAGCCTGGTCACATCCCTTGTCCCACCCCCGTGTCGTCTTGTTCTGTGTCCCCACGAGACTGAAACCGTGTCCCTCCCATGTGGCAGCGGCCACATGAGGCTTTGCCCTTCCTGGTCCTGTCCTTCCCCACGCAGCACCCTTTGGAGGTCCCCCCTCCTTGGCACTTCCAGCACCCGGTCTGTCAGATGGCCCAGGGGGCGGCGAGAGCCCCCAGCACCACTGCCCACTCCCTGCCCGCATGGGGGGGCTGAGGCCTCAGCCCCCTCTGAATCCCCCTGCGCTTTGTCTCTGCAGTCCAAGGGGAGCCTGGAAGTGACGGAGAGCCAGTCTGCTGACGCCGAGCCGCCACCCCCACCCAAGCCTGACCTCAGCCGCTACACAGGCCTGAGGACACACTTAACCCTGGCCACCACCGAGGGTAAGGAGGGCACCAGGGCCCCGGCAGCCGCTGGGAAGGGAGCCCAGGGCTGTGCCAGGCAGGCCAGGAGCCAGGGCCGTAGGCGGCTTTAACAGGCTGCAGGGCAGACCTGGAGCACATCAGCACCACCTCACTTCCCGGGCCGCTGTGTGCGGCCCCTCGTGCTTGGAGAAGCCTGCGGGATGCTCACAGCCGGAAGGCCGAGCCGGCACGGCGCTGCCTGGAGCCGCGGGGAGCTGTGCCTTGCAGCCACTGCGCTGCTGGGACGGAGGAGGCGAAGCGGTGGCAGGCCCCGCTCGGCGGCACAGCGCGTCTTGGCCGGCTCCTGCGTGGGCTCGGCCAGAGGTGGGATGTGATGGGCAGAGCCTGTGGCAGCTGCTTCCCACAGCGGCTGGAGACCCCACGGCTCTCCCGGCCCCGGCTGGGCTCCACCGCCCGGCCCCGCTGCCCACCGAGGGCTGCAGTGTGTGTGTCCCTGGGGGGAGCGCCCCGGCACCCCCGTGCAGTGCACCCCCCCGGGGTGTCACCCAGCCGGGGCTGCCGCAGGGGCGCGGAAGTGCCAGCCCCACACACGTGGCTGTGGGGACACCCCTTCATCCCACTCCGTCTCTCCCACCCTGCTGCGCCTCCCCTCCAGCCCGTCCCTCCCTCCCCGGTCTGTCCGCCCCAGGCTCGGAGCCGGTTCTTGGGCAGGGAGGGCAAGGCTGGGCGCGTTCCTTCCCCGCAGCCCCGGGGAGCCGCTGCCCCCCTGAGCTTGCCCCTCTCTCCCGGTGCAGACAGCAGCCTGCTAGGCAAGGACAGCCCCCCGACTCCCACCATGTACAAGTACCGGCCCGGCTACAGCAGCAGCAGCAGCTCGGCGGCCCTGCCCCACTCCACCAGCGCCAAGGTAAGGCTGGGCCCAGTGTGGAGGACCAGCCCCGAGGGGATGGTGTTCCTGGTGTGGGGAGGGTTTGGGATGGGTGTCCAGAGCTCTGCAGGGACCCTGCTGTCATTCCATGGGTGACTGCTGTCCCTCTGCCCCTCAGCTGAGCCGAGTGAACAGCCTGAAGGAGCCCAACTCCATCTGCGAGAGCGGCCACAAGCCCAGCTACCGCTCGGAGCCGAGCCTGGAGCCCGAGAGCTTCCGCTCGCCCACCTTCGGCAAGAGCTTCCACTTCGACCCCCTGTCCAGCGGGTCCCGCTCCTCCAGCCTCAAGTCGGCGCAGGGCACGGGCTTCGAGACGGGCCACCTCCAGTCCATCCGCTCCGAGGGCACCACCTCCACCTCCTACAAGAGCCTGGTGAACCAGACGCGCAACGGCAGCCTCTCGTACGACAGCCTGCTCACGCCCTCCGACAGCCCTGACTTCGAGTCGGTGCAGGCGGGCCCGGAGCCCGACCCGCCCGTGGGCTACACCTCGCCCTTCCTGTCGGCCCGCATCGCCCAGCAGCGAGAGACCGACCTGCACGGCCGCTTCGCCAGCGCCGCCTCCCCCAAGCACGCGGCGCCCCGCGAGCCCTCGCCCGTGCGCTATGACAATCTCTCCCGCCACATCGTGGCCTCCATCCAGGAGCGGGAGAAGCTGCTGCAGCAGCCGCCGGCCCCAGGCCGGGAGGAGGATGCGGGGCTGGCGGACTCGGGCATCCAGTCGACGCCGGCCTCCAGCAACGCCCCCCGCACCAGCTCCTCCTCGGACGATTCGAAGCGCTCGCCGCTGGGCAAGAACCCGCTCACCCGCCCGGCCCTGCCCCGCTTCGGGAAGCCCGAGCCCCCACCGGCGCTGCGGGTGCGCTCGCTGGGCTCCCCTGACCAGCCCGCCGCCCCCCACCTGGGCAAATCCGTGTCTTACAGCAGCCAAAAAACAGCCTCGCAGGCTGGCGGCCCCGAGACGGAGGAGGTGGCCTTGCAGCCCTTACTGGCACCAAAGTGAGTATGGCACAGGCACAGCAGGGTCTGTGGGGTGGGACCCTCACCACCCTGCAGGGAGGTGGCTGCTCAGTGCCCCCCTGCCCAGTGCCCCTCCAACCCCCTGGGGCAGCAAAATGCAGAGAGATGCTGCAGGTTGCCTGAGGAAAGGCAAAGGAAATCCTCCTCCCAGAACTGGAGCTGGTGCCCCCCAAAGCTCCTTGGTCACCCCCCGGGAGCTGGAGTGGGCTATGAGTGCTGGGGGTCCCTGGGGAGGGCAAGGGAAGTCCTCCTCCTCCTCCCGGAACAGAGTTGGTGCCCCCCACACCTCCACAGGCCCCTTGGGAGCTGGAGTGGGCTGGGGGTCCCTGGGGAGGGCAGGGCTGTGGCTGAGGTGAGCCGTCCCTGCTCCTGACCCCCTGTCTGTCCTTCCTTCCCCGCAGGGACGAGGTGCAGATGAGAACAGCCTACAGCAAGTCCAACGGGCAGCCCAAGAGCCTGGGCTCAGCCCCGCCGGGCCCGGTGCCCCTCAGCAGCCCCACCCGCGGCGGCGTCAAGAAGGTGTCGGGTGTGGGGGGCACCACCTACGAGATCTCGGTATGAGGGGCAGAGCCACTCGCCCCCTCCCCTCCTCCCCGGCGGCCCCCAGGGACGCGCTGCCGGACGCTTGTGGACTCCAGGGGGAGCCGGGCGGGGGCACGGCCCGGCGGCCCCCCCTGCCCTTCCCTTCTCCACCCCCTGGGCCGCAGGGGCTGGCACACACCCTCGGGGGGGGCTCTGGGGGAAAGGGGGGGGCTGCAGCCCCGGCACCGCCTCGGCTGCGCCAGCCACTCGTGGGCCTTGTGCAATCACCCGCTCGCCTGGCGTGGTAGGAACGGATTGTTTTTAAACCAGAATACTTTTTTTTATTATTATTGTTACGGATTCTATTTTTTTTCTCTTTCCGAGTTACCAGGTGTGTGTATATATAAATATCTATATATATAAATATAAATATTAAAAAAAAAAAAAAAAGAAGAAGAAGCAGAAATTATATATCTTACCCAGAGAGAGAAAGAAACTACCCCGTTCCCTGCCCGGGGGTCTGCGCCCCCCCACCTTGTCCCTGTCCCCAAAGGAGGGATGTGGGGCCTCCAGTGCAGGTCCTGTGCGTTGCTGTCCCACCCGCAGTAGGGTCACAGGGCTCTGGGGTGCCAGTTGCCCCTCTGGGTGCCCCATCCCAAGGCCTCAGATGCTCTCCCCCCTTGGTCCGTCGTGTGCGCAGCCTCCAGCCCCCCGGGGGCCCACAGACAAGGTAGGACAGGGGCAGCCCCCTCCCCACACCCCCAGCCTCAGCCCCTCATGGACTCCAGCCTCCCCCACCCACGGTTTTTGCTCTTTCTCCCTTTCCCTGAGGGCTGTGGTCGGGGCGGGGGGGGGGCAGTGTGCGGGTGTTGGTTTTGTTGCCTTTTTGTTAATGATTCCGATGGGGTTTCTCGCTGTCACAGGGGTGTTTTTATTTCCTTTTGCTCGGGGAAGAGGCAGGTCTGTGGGGCACATCCCCGAAAAGCAATATTTTCTCATCACATGCCAAAAAAAAAACCCGCAGCCAAGGAGCCCCGTGCTCCCCATCCCCTGCCCTGCCTGGGCAAAGCCGTGGCCCCGCAGGCACTACCGGACTCTTTCTCTACGGCAACAGCTCCCGTGGCCCCGCAGAGCCACGCCAGGGTTTTTTATTATTATCAGCCATTTTAAAAACAAGGAATAAAAGGATATTTAATGAGCCACCCTGGGGCCGTGCGTGTGCTTTGTTTGGCGTCCAGGGATGGAGGAGCTCCTGTTCCTTGGGGTCTCAGCCTTCCCCATCCTGAGGGGGAGAGAGGGAAGGAGGCCTGGGGATAGCCAAGCCCAGCTGCATTTTGGGGAGGCACCTCCTCGGGCTGCTTTTGGGCAAACTGCTCCCACAGAAGGTAAGGATTTTCCAGGCATGGGGAAAGCTGCTCCAGGGAAGGTGTGGCAGGTGCTGATGAGGCTCGAGATCCGGAGGAGGGCTGTGGTGTCTCTGTGACTGCTGCTGGAGATCCCAGTGCCTGCGGCAGCTGCAACCTCCGCACAGGGACACGGTGCCTCTCCAGGAGTCCCCCCTGTCCTCAGCAGGCCTGGGAGGTGAGGGCCAGAGCAGGACAGGGCCAAAGCCAAGGTAGGAGCCAGGCTGAGAGCCGGGGCAGGAGCTCAGGGTGGTGCTGACCGCGCACACTCCAGGGACCCCTTGCTCAGGGCTGCTTCCCATGCCGTGACAGCCGAGGGTCGCAGCAGCCGCAGCCCCTCCCCAGAGCAGAGACTTTAGTTCAGAGGTAACTAAAAAACAGGCCCCGATGCTCCGGGGTCTTTTGGTACAAAAGCCCGAGGTCGGCACCCGCAGAGTCTGTGCCTCTGGTCCCAGGGGGCTGTGGGGGTGTCCTCTCTGCCAGGGGGGTGGACAGACCAGCCCAGTGCCCCTGCCCAGGGTCAGCCGTGGCCATCGACCAGGGGGTCCCCGGGGTGGTGCTGGGGTGGTCTCACCGTAAGCTGCTGCTGGCCTGGGAGCTGCCCACGCCCGGGTGCTCCGGGCTGTGCCGGTTCTGTGGAGGAAGGACAGACAGAGCCCCTGAGAGCTGCTGGGCAGTAGCCTCCCAGGGACACACATGCTGGAAACTGGACCCTGACCCTCACTACCCACCTTCTTTTTCTTCTTCTCTTTCTTCTTCCTCTTCCGCTCCGGATCCTCCTCTTTTTTCTTCTTTTTCTTCTTGTGGTCGGAGTCTGAGGGGGTTTCTGGGGAAGCAGAAGTGCCGGATGAGTCGAGGCGCCGGCAGCACTGGAGGGGAGCGGGGTTGGCTGTGACAGCCCCTTACCTGGGGGGACGGGGTCCTGTGTGCGGCTCTGCTTGTGCTTGTGCTTGTTCTTCTTCTTGGGGGGCTGGATGTGCATCAGCCGGCACTGCTCGGGCAGCTGCGGACAGAGGGGGCTGGTCAGGCCGGGCCGGGCCCCTCCCACCACCCTCCCGCCCCCCTCCCACCTGCCGGCCCCGGGCTCACCGGGCCGGCGTGCAGGCGGAACCCGGTCAGCATGGCCCCCGTGAGGGGCGTGAAGGAGCTGCCGCAGATGGGCGGCTTCTCGATGAGCGAGCGCAGGCTGCTGCTGTCGTGGGAGCCGGGCAGGTCGATCATGCCGGGCAGGTCGGGGAGGAAGTTGCTGAGCTTCTCCTTCACCTTCTTCCCGCAGAACTTGTTGTAGGCGTGCTCCAGGTTGTAGTGCGTGATGAGGTTGGTGCTGCCCGTCAGCTCCGTGGTGCCTGTGCGGCCGCGGGAGGGGATGGCGAGGGGGGGGAACCGCCCTGCCGGGGCATCGGGACCCCTCGGCCTTGCTCCCCACCCCTGCCAAAGCCCTAGGATCCCCCTGCCCTGCCCTGCCCCGGCCCCGGGACCCTCGGCCCCTCCGCCCAGCCCTGCCCGGGACCCCCGTGTCCCGCTCCGGCCCAGCCCCGAGGACCCCCCGCCGACCACTTCCCGCGGGGCCGCGCGGCGCCTGGCCCCGCCCCCCCGCGCGCTCATTGACCGGCCGAGCCGTCAGTTCACCCCACGGCCGCGCTGATTGGTCGAGCGCGGCGCTCGCCCCGCCCCTGCGGCCCGCCCGCACCTGGCAGCTCCCGCAGCAGGTAGAAGGGGCCAGCGGCGGCCTTGCGGGCCGCGTCCTCGCCCGGTGGCGGCGCGGCGGCGGCGGCGGGCGGCG